GTCCCACTGACTCCTCCGCTGTCCCACTGAGCTGTCCCACTGTTCCCACACTGTCCCCACTGTCCCCACCACTGTCCCCACTGTACCTCTGTCCCATTGTCCCACCGCCGTCCTCGCCACCGCCTTCACCACTGTCCCCACCACCATTGTACCCTCCACTGTCCCATTGTTTCCACCTCATTCCCACTGTGCCCACACCACTGTCACCACCACCACCGTCCCCACCACTGTCCACTGTCCCCCCTGTTCCCACCATTGTCCCCACCACTGTCCCCACCACTACCGTCCCCACCACTGTCCCACTGTCCCACTGTTCCCACCACTGTCCCGCTGTCCCCTCACCACTGTCCCCACCAACACCGTCCCCACCACTGTCCGCACCCCCACTCGGTTTTCGAGGGGGGGGGGGGGTTCGAACCGGTAGTGACCCCCCCCCCTTTTCATGATGAGCTGGGGGGGGGGGGAGGGGTTCGAACCGGTAGTGACCCCCCCCGGTTTTCCGGACGGGGGGTGGGGGGGGAGGGGTTCGAACCGGTAGTGACCCCCCCCCGGTTTTCCGCCAGCAGCGGTAGAACACGCTCTTTCATACATATATACACACATATACGTAAGCACATTCCCCAAACAGTGTTTGACTATTACTTCTATCACTGATGAATTGGTCCGCCGAGGTTTCGCCGCGACGCCGCCCGTGGCCGCCTCGTGGCCGCCTCGTTGCCGCCCACTTGGGATATCCACCGAGGTTTCGCCGCGTCGCTGCCGGTGACCGCACCGCGACAGCCTCGTTGCCGCCCACCCACTTGGGGGGTCCGCCCAAGTCTTGCCGCGTCGCCGCCTCGTGGCCACCTCGTGGCCGCCCCCTTGGGGGTTGCGCCGAGGTTTCGCCGCGTCGCCGCCCGTGGCCCCCTGGTGGCCGCCTCGTTGCCGTCTGCTTGGGGGTCCGCCGACGTTTCGCCGCGAGGCCGCCCGTGGCCGCCGCGCTGCCGCCCACCACGCTTGGGCGGTCCGTCGAGGTTTCGCCACGTTGCCACCTCGTGGCTGCCTCGTTGCCGCCCACCGCGCTGTGTTTTCGCTTGGGATTCTTATAGTTTTCTTGAGGCATGAAAAAACGACCCTGCCCTGGGTTACAAGTGCGTGGTCTGTAAACCTCCCGGGAACCCCCAAAGCCTAAAGCCGCCAGGACGCGGCATATCACGCAGGGTTTGGCCTGTCGGCCCACAGGAGTTTCAGCGCACAGCGCCCCGTAAACCAGTGTAGGGGCGTTTTTTCTGCCCTTGATTTTCTGCGCAATGTGACCACCTACCTTGCAACACATGCCGTGCATCGCACACTGTCCACGGCATACTGCATTGGTTACGCACCGTGCGCCACATAGCTTCCGCCACACAGCTTGGACCATATTGGTTGCGCCACGCAGCTTGCACATCCACAGGGCCATATCTTCCTGTTTGGAGTCCGCGCTGGCAACACACATAGATCCGCCGATGCTTCGGCGTGTGGAAGACGCCATCGTCGTCATCGTCGTCGGCGTCGTCGTCGTCAGTCCCACGCAAATGAGCAGCAGGAAAAGGAACGTCGTAGTTAAGTCGGAGGGAACCCTCTTCCCTTTATCACTTCCCTGCCGGGGAGGGGGGTTGGGGGGGTGCGGAATGGACGAGGGTGAGGGGGGAGGGGGTGTTCCAGATCAGAATACCGCCCCCCCCGGGGTCCCGGCGGGGGGTCGCCAGCGGGGGTCCGCGGGGAGGTCTCACCTTCAGAATGGCGGCAACGGCTGGAAGGCCTTTGCACTATACATATATATAGGTGTATATATATACATATGTATACAGATATGAGTGTGTGTGTATGTGCACACACATACATACAAACCAACATACATACAGACAGGCAGACAGACAGGCAGGCAGACAGACAGACAGACAAACATGTACGCATGCATGCATGCATACAGACATGCATACGTACATACATACATACATACACGCATACATACTTTCATTTATACATGCATACATACATACAAGCATACTTGCACACATGCAAACATACATACAAGTACATACGTACGTGGCTACCTGTCGACCTACCTAGATACAGTCATGCATGAATGCATGCATGAATGCATACATATATGTGTATGCGTGTACATGCATCCGTGCATAACTATTACATGCATACATACGTACAGACACACATGCATGTATACATACATACACGTACACACAAAGAGTGTCGATACACATACATATACACCGTTATACACAGATGCAAACAGTTATATACATACATACATACAGACATACATACATACACACATACGTACGTACGTACGTACGTACATACATGCATGCATGCATGCACACATACAAACACACAATCACGTAAATATACACATTCGCATACACATACACATGCACAGACGCATGTACATGCACATACACACACATACACATGCACATGCACATGCACATGCACATGCATACATACATGCATGAATGCATGCGTGCATATGGGTAAGTATCTATACACACACACGCACGCACGCACGCACACTCATGCATGCATGCATGCATACACACATACATGCATGCATACATGCATGCATACATACACATACAGACATACACATACATACATACATACATACATACATACATACATACATACATACATTGCAAATATACAGGCGTGCATGCATGCATACGTACATACAGACATACATAGACACATACATACATACAAACAGACATGCATGCAGACAGACAGACGGACAGGAAGGCAGGCAGGCAGGCCGACATAAAGACAGACATACTCACGTGCATGCATGCATGTATTCATATATATATACACATGCATACATACAGACATAGACGCGTACCACCTATAGCACAGGTTGCACGGCACAGGCGTCACCACATAGTTTACACCGCGTAACTTGCACCGCAAAGCTTTTACCACATAGTTTCCCTCACATAGCTTGTACCACATAGCTCGCACCACATAGCGTACACCACGTTTCTTGCATAGTTTCGCCAGTATTCGAAGGAACTTTACAAACAGATGGGTGGACATATCCTGCCCCCAACACGGACGGAAGACGAGGAGGAAGAGGAAGGAGAGAGGAGGATGGACCTGGAGCGAGGCGCGGCGACAACAAACCGTACAGGAAGGTAGTGCACTCGCGCGCGCAAATCAGCCCAGCAAGACGGCGCCCGCACTGGGCACCATTTGCGGGCACATGCGTAAACCAACGAGAAGGAAGGAAGGATGGAAGGAGCACGGTACGAAGTAGGGCGGGAAAGAAGACGGACAGAACGAAGCAGCGGCTACAAAATGAGAACTATAGCAAAGACGCGGCGGCAGCGACGGCGAGGGCAGCGGCAGCGGCGGCGGCGGAGACGACGACGACGACGACGATGACGACGACGACGACGACGACGACGTCAGCGGCAACAACGACGGCGATGGCGACGATGGCGATAGCGACGGCGGCGACGTCGTCGACGACGAGAACGCTGGCGAGGGTGCCAAAGACGACGCCGGCAGCGACGACAACGATGGCGACGGCGCGGGTGGCGACGTCGGCAACGACGATGGCGCTGGCGAGGGCGCCAAAGACGACGCCAGCGGCGACGACGACAATGGCGACGGCGATGGTGGCGACGACGACGACGACGACGAAGACGACGACGTCAGCAGCGACAACGTCTGCGATGGCGCCAGCGAGGGCGCCAAAGACGACGCTGGCGGCGACGACGACGCCGACGACGACGATGACGCCGACGACGACGACGACGACGACGACGACGACGACGACGGCGATCCGAGCGAAGGGGCTGACGAGAACGACGTCTGCGGCGACGACATTGGTGACTGAGCCGGCGGCGATGGCGGCGACAGCGGCGAAGGCGACGACGCCGGCGAAGGCGACGGCGGCGACGGCGGCGACGGCGAGCGCTGCGACGGCGACGACCACTGCGGCGACGGCGACGGCGCCGGCGAGGGCGACAGCGGCGACGGCGAGAGCGGCGACCGCGACGACCACGGCAGCGACGACCGTGACGGCGACGTCACACCTTTCCTTTCTGCCCGAACTGCTGGACCGCACCCGCTTGGTAAAATTGTAGTGCTGCAGCGCACGCCGCGGGTTGCTGGATCGCGCCCGCTCACTCACATGCAGAGCTTGAGCGCTGGAGTGCCCTCGCTAGATAAAAATGCAGTGCAGGAGCGAACGCCGCAGGTGTAGACATCAGAGGGGGATGGGAGAGGGGAGGGCACGGGTGGCGGGACTCCTCCTCCTCCTCTTCCTCCTCCTCCTCCTCCTCCCCTCTTTTTCCTCCTCCTCCTCCGCCTCCTCCCTCCACCTCCTCCTACCTCCTCCTCGCCCTTCTTCCTTCCTCCTCCTCCTCCTCCCTCCTCCTCCCTCCCCTCCTCCTCACATCATCAACACATCATCAGCAGCACAGCAGCTACGCACATCATTATCATATATGTATACATAATGTCATCATATCCGATTACCATGAATTACCATTAGCATTACCGTTATCATCACCACTATCGCCAGCATCGCGACCACCACCACCACCATCACCATCATCATCTACAGAATCATCATCACCACCACCACCATCACCATCATCATCACCATCATCACCATCACCACCATCACCACCATCACCACGATCATCATCATCATCAGCATCATCATCATCAGAATCATCATCATCATCATCACCACCATCATCATGATCAGCATCAGCATCACAACCACCACCATCATCATATCATCACCACCCCACCACCAACGCCGCCACCACCGCCGCCACCATCATCACCATCACCATCACCACCATCATCACCGTCACCGTCGGTCGCCGTCGCCATCCATCCACCCCTCCGCGCCCCCCCTCGCTCCCTCGGCTCTTCCGCGCCCGCTCCGCACCCCCGCCACCCGCGGCCACGGCGACGACGGCGACGACGTCGACACGCACGCCCGCCTCGGCCACGCCCTCGAGGAGCTCGGCCGCCAGGTGCGCCTCGGCCCACGCCGCCTGCATCTGCACGCTGACCTCGCGGCGCTGCCCGCTTCGCCCGTGGGCGTGCCCGGCGCCGGCTCCCGTCCCCGAGATCCGGGCGCTGCAGGCTTTCCACGCGGGGGGAATCCCACCAGCCCTTTAGGGCGTAGGTGGTCTAGGGAGTTTCCTCTGCCAACCCCCTTCTTCCCCTTCGGGGAGGGGTTTACCCCTCCCCTTACCCCTCCCCACTGACCTGGACGGGGCCGGTCGCGAGGTGTCAGAGCGTCCAAGATGGCCCAAGACAGCTCCAAGAGCGAACAGGCGAGTAAACACAAAACATTGATTTTACCTAGGTTTTGGAAGGATTTTGGCATCTTGGGGGGGCCCAAGAGGCGACTCGAGGCACTCTGGAGGGGCGGGGCTAATAAGCAACCCCCCCGTCTTTGATAGATCTCCTCCAAGATGGCCCAAAGAGCGCCCCGAAGGCTCCCAAGAGCGCCCCAAGAGCGCCTCAAGAGGGCCCCAAGAGACCCCAAGAGGCCCCCAAGAAGCCTCCAAGAGGCTGCCAAGAGACCCCCAAGAGGCCCCAAGAGAGTCCAAGATGGCCCAAGACGGCTCCAAGAGCGAAAAGGCGAGAAAGCAACAAACATTGATTTTACCTGGGTTTTGGAAGGATTTTGGCCTCTTGGGGCGCCCAAGAGGCGACTCGAGGCACTCTAGAGGGGCAACGCTAATTGGGTACCCCCTCTTCTCTGATCGATCTCCTGCAAGATGGCCCCAAGAGCGCCCCGAAGGCTCCCAAGAGCGCCCCAAGAGCGCCCCGAGAGCGCCCCAAGAGGCCCCAAGAGGCGCCCAAGAGGCCTCCAAAAGGCTCCCAAGAGACCCCCAAGAAGCCCAAGAGGCTCCCAAGACGGGTCCAAGAGCGAAAAGGCGAGAAAACAAAAAACATTGATTTTACCTAGGTTTTGGAAGGATTTTGGCCTCTTGGGGGGGCCCAAGAGGCGACTCGAGGCACTCTAGAGGGGCAGCGCTAATTGGGAACCCCCCCTTCTTTGATAGATCTCCTCCAAGATGGCCCCAAGAGCGCCTCGAAGGCTCCCAAGAGCGCCCCAAGAGCGCCCCAAGAGGGCCCCAAGAGGCCCCAAGAGGCCCCCAAGAGGCCGAAGGCTCCCAAGAGCGCCCCAAGAGCGCCCCAAGAGGGCCCCAATAGGCCCCAAGAGGCCCCCAAGAGGCCTCCAAGAGGCCCCCAAGAGACCCCCAAGAGGCCACAAGAGGCTCCCCGAGATACGCAAGAGGCCCCCGGGACCGCCAAGAGGCCCCAAGGACGGCCCAAGAGGCCCCCAAGCTCGCAATTGTCCTCCTCCTCCTCCTCCTCCTCCTCCTCCTCCTCCTCCTCCTCCTCCTCTTTTTCTTCCTCCTCCCTCCTCCCCCTCCCCCTCCTCCTCCTCCTCCTCCTCCTCCTCCTCCTTCTCCTTTTCCTCCTTCTCGTCCTCCTCGTCCTCGCAGTCCTCCATCTCCTCCTCCTTCTATTCCTCCTCCTCCTCCTCCTGCTCCTCCTCCTGCTCCTCCTCTTCCTCCTCCTACTCCGACGACGACGGCTCCTCCTACATCCTCCCCCTCTTGGGGTATATGGCGGCTCACCCCGCCCTTTGTTCTTCTGCATGCTCCCCCGTTTCCCTCAGAACCTCCACTCCCCTGGGACTCATTTCTGGACGGGCTGGTGGGGATACGCGAAGCGTCTAGAATTTTCCACAAGCTGCGGGCCCCAGGAGCATCACAGAGCCGTCTGGCTCGAAACGTGCAAGAGGGGGTCCGGGGCTGCAGTCGTGACTCTTCGCGATGCTGCAGCGTTTGTGGCGTCTTGCGCGCGCAATCGCGCAGGTGCCAGCACGTGGGCGGAGGGGCCATAGGAGACCACAGGAAGCCGGGTGGTCACAGGAGGCCATAGCTCCCCGTGGCGCGCTCGCCCTGAGGTGCTCGGCCAAGGGCCCTCGACGTCCACGGCAGTCTGGCAGACGGATTCGGATCGGCAGTTTTTCCCTCTTGGTCAGCCTCCAGGGGCCGTTCTCGGCACCTGCGACTCTGGGTGGCTACTTTGTAGGACCTGGGGAAGGAAGAACGGAAGAACGGAGGACATGGCGACCCTTCTCCCCGACTCTGGGAGGTTTTTCAACTGGACCAAAAGTTTGGGGTCCCATCCTGGGACATACAGGGGGGGGGCGTCCATTATCATCGGTACGGGGTGCATCCGAAAAGCCGAGACGAAGAACTGCCCATGGGAGAAAGCTCGATGCCTCTGGGACCCGCGGGCACAGAATCAGCAGCAGCAATAATTTTTCAGACTGTTCGCTCCCACCGGCTCGCGTGCCATTGAACACGCGTACCCAAAACCTTCGATACCCGCCCTCCTCGTTTACGATCGTACCCCACCTGCCACGAGTAAGTGGTGCAGCGCCTGACATAGGGGAAGAGAGGACGGACGGAAGGGGGAGGGAGAAGGATGGAGCATGAGAGAAATTAGCAGGATGCAGAAAACACGTGGCAGAACCAGACGGGCTGATCGCACCCCCTTGGGATATATCGTCCTTACTTCCCACGCGTATTTAGCGCAGCCCGTGAAGCGGGAGATGAGAGGACGGACGGAAACGGGATGGAAAAGGATGGGGCACGAAAGATATTAGCAAGAGGGGGGCCGGGAGCAGAAAACACGTGGCAGAACCAAACGGGCCAGATCGGGCCGGCAGACCCTAGCGGGCGAGTCGGAAGGCGGGCCCCGGCGGCCAGGACAAGCCGAGGGCGCGGCGTCTGAACAAATTGTGATCCCTGTATAAATTGTAAATAGGTCCTGTGCGAGAGCGCGGTTTTGAAATAGATATGTGGGGAAATAGGCGGGATCCGCTGTCGCTGTAAACCAAGGACCAGGAGCCCAATATGAGCAGCAAGACTTTCCGTTGCTAAAAACCAAGTGCGAGCCCTGGGAGGCGCACCTTCATTGAAAAATGCAATGCGCACCTGGGAAGATCAACAAGAAGTATCATTCAGAAGTGAGGATTCAACAACAACAACAACAACAACAACAACAACAACAACAACAACAGCAATAATAATTCTACGACTGTTCGCTCTTACTTGCCCGTGTGTCACTCGAAACGAGTTCCCCGCACCCTCGATACCCGCCCTTTTTGTCTTCGATCACACCCCATTTGGGGGGATTCTTTCTCTTTGCGGGGGGCGGCGGGCGTAGACAGGAGGGCAAACCTGAACGGCCGGACAATCCTTCGTGGGCGTACACGTGCCCGCCATTGGAACTGGTGTGGACCCTGCAAAAAGAGGGGGGAAAACGAGGGAGAGTGGGAGGAACGGAAGGGGCGGGACGAAGGAAGATGGAAAACGCCAGGAGAGAACGAGCGAAGAGGGGGGCGGTTGACTAGAGGCCGAACGAGAGAGAGAGAGAGAGAGAGAGAGAGAGAGAGAGAGAGAGAGAAAAAAAAAAAAAAAAAAAAAAAAAAAAA